AACTACAGGCGCGCGCTACCACGCCCGGCTAATTCTTGATTTATTGTAGAGATGAGGTCTTGCCAAGTTGCCCAGGTGGGTCTCGAACCCATGGGCTCCCAAAGTGCTGGGATTACAGGCTAAGCCACCGAGCCCGGCCAACCATTTCTTAGTATTTTTCTTTAGATTGACTTACTTTTGTTTTTTTTAATTATTTATTTTTTTGTTTGTTTTTTGAGTTAGAGTCTCACTCTATCACCTAGGCTGGAGCACAGTGGCACACTCATGGCCACACCAGCATAGACTTGCTGGGCTCCAGTGATCTTTTGCCTCAGCCTTCCAAGTAGCCGGAACTTCAGGTGCGTGCTACCACTCCCAGCTAATTTTTTTTTAATTGTAGAGCTGAGGTCTCACCAAGTTGCCGGGCTGGTCTTGAACCTGTGGGCTCAGGCAATCCACTAGTCTCGGCCTCCCAAAGTGCTGGGATTACAGACTGAGCCACCGAGCCTGGCCCACTTTTGTTTTTGAGTAGGAATCTCATTGACATCCAGGCTGGAGTGCAGTGGCACGCTCACAGCCACGGCAGCCTCGACTTGCTGGGCTCAGGTGATCCTTCCGCTTCAGCCTTCCAAGTAGCTGGAACCACAAGCATGCGCCACCATGTCTGGTTAATTTTTTGATTTATTGTAGTGACAAGTTCTCACCAAGTTGCCCAGGCTAGTCTTGAGCCACTGGGCTCAGGCAATCCTCTTGCCTCTACCTCCCAAAGTACTGGGATTATAGGCATGAGCTACTTACTACACCCAGCTGACTCACTTTTTATATTTAGCCTTGTCCCAACTTATCTGCACATTAGAATAATCTGAGTGACCTTTAAAAAAATTATAAAGCTGGCTTGGTGACTCACATCTGTAATCCCAACAGTTTGGGAGGCTCAGGTAGGAGGATCGCTTGAGGCCAGAAGTTTGAGACCAGCCTGGGTAACACAGTGAAATTCTAATGCCTGCCCCATGTTAATTGCATCAGAGTCTATGCTCGAGCCCAGACATCTGAACATTTTAAAAGTTTCACCAGATGGAGCCAGGCTCGGTGGCTCAGCCTGTAATCCTACACCTTGGGAGGCTGAGGTGAGTGGATTGC